ACGCACAGCCTTAACAGTGCTGACTGTGGTTCACAGGGTCACTACGGGCGTGCTCCATCCAGTGCACAGTAACCCATCAGCAAAGGGGTTCTGGTGCCCTAGTGGGAAGCAGCTGTGCTGCCAACACAAAGGCTCATGGGGTTTTTTTGGTTTGTTGTGGGTTTTTATTTTATTTTATTAATTTTAAAGAACATTTACAGAGATTTTGGATTTTCATTCATTCATTGTTGCACTTTTCCCCCTCTCCCCCTCCCCCCAGTTTAGGCTCGTGGTTTTAAAACACCAGCTGCTTCAGGACAAAAGGATGGGCCATATTCTATATTCTCCTACACGATTCACTGCCTCTGAAAACCTTCCCACTGGAGAATCAGCCACGGGTTGGTTCCAACTCAGTATTACGGAAAAATGACCGAGTTGTTATTGCTGTTGCTTACCATCAAGTCGGAACCGATGCACACCCTCCAGCGAGTTTACAGAGGCAGCAAATCACACAGGAGGAAACTGCCCATCCTCCTCATGCAGAGCAGCTGGTGGACTCAAATCGTGGCCTTGGGGCCTGGAGCGCAGTTTCCTACCACGAGGGTCAAGAGAGCTCCCTGTTACTGTGCTGTTGTTATTGTTGTTGTTTAGTGCCGTTGCGTCGTAGGAACTCATAGCGACCCTATGAAGGAGAGTCCTCAACACTTGTGTGCCTTTCATCCTCTCTCCAGGTTCATAGGGTTTCCAGAGGGAAGTTATTGTGGAAGTGGATGCCACTCCTGCTTCCAAGCTTGTTTTAACCGGGAGCCCCACCAAACACTGTCCACTATGGGTAACCATTCTCACATTTGACACATCAGTGTCACAGTGTTCAGCTTCACAGCGACCACAAGTTGCCTCTGTATGGCAAGTGGCGACACCAGGGCTATACAACCTAGAAGACTGAACGAAATAATGCACAAATGTGTACTACCAATCAGCAAGTTAGCACAGTTATGTGTTGAGATGCTAACAGAAGTTTGGCAGTTCAAATCCACCAGCAACTCCTTGGGAGAGAGATGAGGAGGCAAAGTCCTCCTTGGTCACCTGATGAGAGGTCACCATGAGTCAGACCAATTCGACAGCACGGGGTCGGGTTTGGCGGGAGTAGCTAGCATCTTGTTAATCCGCAAATCTGTTCCTAGGGGCCCTGGGCCTGCAGCCGAGGCCTCCAAGCACCATCACAGCACAGAGCACAGCTGTTTCTCATAACCTGGCGGGACAGACAGAAGTCCTGCACTGCCTTTTCCTCACGCAGAATTTAAGCAACTCTCCCTCCCTGCCCTCAAGTGGATTCTAACTCACAGCGACCACACAGAGTAGAATTGTCCCACCAGGAGTCCAAGGTCAAACAAACATGCAAACAGACTGCCTCCTCTTCCACCTGAAAAGTAGCTGGATTTGAACCACTAACCTCTTAGTTGTTGTTGCTGCGTGCCATTGAGTCAGAACCGAACCACAGCTGACGCGCTAGCAGGTTTTCTGAGGCAGTTAATCACACAGGAGGAGATTGGCCATCCTTCTCCCACAGAGCAGCTGGTGAATTTGAATCTCATGCCTTCAGGAATTGCAGTGCAGCTTCTTACCACTAGGCCACTAGAGCTCTCCTTTTCATTAATGGCCCAAATGTAACACATTATGCTTCTAGGACTTTTTTGAGCTAACCTCAGCAGATTGTATTTTGACGGTTGGGTGTGGCTGGGTGAGGGGTCAGAAGCATTAAACATCCAAACTCACTTTTTCATCTTCTAAACCCACCAACCAGGTCTTCCTCTTCCCTGCCTCCTCCTTAAGCAATAGCCCTCCTAACTTCAACGCTCTGCAGTCTCCCTCCTGCTCCAGAGGTAACTCAATGGGCAAGAATCACATCTTCTCTGGCTTCCTCTTATGGCCCCGAGTTTCCTAAAACTTCCCAGGCCCCCTCACTTCCCTCAGCTGGAGAAACAATGGTTTTTCAGAAGCCCTTGGGACCTGGGGAGAAACCCTGGGGTCGCTGATGGCCACTTCAAGGCAGTTCCAAGAACAGCACTGCCCTGAAGGACTGGAAAATACAATTGAGCTGCTTCCAAAATGATCTTAAAAAAAAAGTGTTTTGACTAAATCAAAGCCTTTTTCTGGTTCTTAACATGTGCCGCTAAGAAAACTCCCCTTGATGGTGGGAAAGGATGCGGAAGGAAACACCTACCAAGGTGAGGACCCTAAAATGCTTGTGAACGCAGTATATTCACAGGTGATTGTGGACTAGCCTTGAGAGTGTGCTATCAGGGTCCTGGGCAAGCAGGTGCACACACCCGGGCAAAACCAGCCTGTGCAGCTGTCCCCACTCTGGAAAATGTTGGGAAGGGAGAACTGGGGAAAGCATACTTAAACACAGTATCTAGATGCGAAGGTAAGAGCATGTGAGGACAGTTAACACTCAAGGCTTTGAGTACCCATCTCCAGCTCCCCGCCTCCCACTAGACACATTTACTCTGAGAAATAAGTGTATTCAGTCATCAGATACACAGAGGAAAGAAGTCCCAAGGCATGCCACATTGTGGAGGAACCAATCACATGATGAGTGAAGTCAGTCACAAAAAGACAAATATTGCATGATCCCACTTACAAGAATGATTTGGTAGAGACAAGGGCAGCGAGACACAAGTTTCTTTGTGGTTAAGACAATAGGTGAGAGGAAGGAGATAACAAGATGACACGGGGGCCCTGAGCTTGTCAAAGGTGATGGGGAAATTCAAGACTAGTGATAGCTGAACAATATGATTGTCTCCTTGGAAAGTGATGTCTTGCTTGGAAAGGTGCAGAGTCAGCAAAAGAAAGGAAGACCCCCAATGCAATGAGATGGACTGATACGGGATAGCAGTAATGGGCTCAAGAGTATCAGAGATCATGAGGACAGCACAGGATATGACAGGGATCAGGTCGCTATGGGTTGTATTTGACTCGACGGCATCTAACGACATAAACATATGAAGACTGTTGAAATGGTAAATGTTCTCTAGATATTTACCACAGTTTTGAAAAGAGAGAGACACTACTCTGAGAGGATGGTTCTGGATGTCCTAAGCTAATGTTACAAATAAGAAAACTGAGGCAAAGATAGAATAGGATTCCCCACCACCCATTTCGCAGTTTTCAATTATTTGGTCATGTCCACCAGCCGAGCTGCCCATTCAAAATTCAACAGCCTGGGCACCAACAGTCTGGGAATCAAAAGATAAGTTGCATTGGAGAAATCTGCTCAAAGACCTCTCCAGAGTGCTAAAGAGCAATGATGTTGGTCTAGAGAGTAAGGTGCGCCTGACCCAGGCCACGGGCTTCTCAATTGGTTGTTATGTTATCTCAGAGCTGGACAGTGACTAAGGATTAAAGAAGAATCAATGCCTTTGAGTTGTGGTGCTTGAGAAGAGTATTAAACCATGGACTGTTAAAGAGAACAAATAAGTTTAGCCTTGAGAGAATGAAATAAAGTTCTTCCTTGAAAGCAAGGATTTTTTTTTTTCTTTTCCTTTATCTCATAGTCATTCTCTACTGGGTTTCAGAAGCTTTTTTTCTTCTTTTCTTTAATTTTATTTTTTAATTAATTCTAATGGAAGTTTACAGAGACTTAGGGTTTCCATTCATTCATTGTTGCACTTTTTTCCCTGCCCACCCCCTCCCTCCCCAATTCGCTCTTCTCTTTGAAAAGCACAAGAAAAATTCTTTCATTGTTATACAATCCCTCCCCCCAACTCCATTCCACTGTGCAGTTTTCATTCTGGACTCCTGTCATGACAGTAATACCTAATCACATATCCCTTTTAAACAGTTCTCTCCCTCATCTGTTTCAATGCAGTATACATTATTTATCCCCTCCCTCTTTCTCAATGAAGTCAAGGATTTTTAAAATTCTGTCTCACATCCATTGGGCATGTTGTCAGATAGGATCAGTCTTTGGAAAAGGACAGTGTGTACCTCTTTACAGCGACCTTTGCTAGTAGCAGTACCAATCAATTTCTCCAGACCACACTCCACCAAAACACCTCAAGCCGTTCTACCAGCCAAAAAAACTCATTTCTAACTTAAATTTTCCTTCTCTAAGACCAACAGTAATCATAAGCATACTGTTATTAATCACTCCATGTCTCTTTTTTACTTCACAGGATCAAAAAGATGACCACCTTAATTCTCCCCTGGCCACTAATCCCAGACTGACTCACTCCAGGCTCTGAACCCCCAGATCGTCGCCCCTGTTCAGCAGGAAGTAGCCCAAAGAAAGATACGTCGCCCTGTTGTATGACTAACAAGAGTCTAAGATGTTAGTCTGGGTAAAGAGAGCGAAAGAGAAGAATGAATAATTCAGAACCCAAATGCTGATGGCCTTGCTTGTTGCTGATAAGAAGAGAAAACGGCCTTGCCTGTCTGGTTAAGCCAGCAGGTGGCTCATAAATCAGAATGGAATGTCCCTCCCTAAAGACTCTGTTTATAAAAATCCTTCCCAGTAAGTTCACAGTGTGACTTCCCATTCTGCCTCTCCAGGATGAGGAACTCACCCAGGAGCTCCCCCGCCCCCCCCCTTTAATAAAGCTGCATTAAACTTTCTCTCTTCTCTCTGATTTCTTCCTTAGGTTCACTAACCTAACAGACATCATGCTTAGAAAATGACTCGATGGCACATAATAACATCCTAAGGTGCCCAAGCCTTTCTAAACCTTTACTTCCTCAAAAATGGGTTTCTTTCCTTCGTTTTTCAAACAGCAAGATGCCCTATTCCCCAGAATTTAGCCGCTAATCTCTGGCAAAACTAAGAGGCCAAACAAAAATTGGGCCCTGCTGCAATGCGCATGTGCCCCATGCTCCGCCCCTCGCCAATTGATCCGCGCCGGGTACCGTCCCTCCAGCCCGGCAGTATGCGGCTGTTCGTTACGTCATAGGAGGGCGCCGGAAGTGCGGGAGCTCGCGGACGGCACACGTGGGTTCAGCTTTGCAAAGTTTGTAGCTGAGCCATGAATACGCCGGTGAGACGCAGCCGGCGGCTGGAAGGCCTAAAGCCGGAGTCCCCCGGCAGCCCCACCCCAGCTTCGCGAGCGCGCCGGGCCCTGGCCGAGTTCTACTCGCACCCAGACGAAACGAAGGAACCCAGCCCCCCTCGGAGTCCTCTCAAACATCCGGGCCTGGGATCCCCCCGACGACAGGAGGAAACAAGCCCGGGGCCGCCCAGTCTCCAGCAGGATGCAGCACTCGGATCCCCCCGAAGGCAGCTAGAGCCGGACACAGGGTTACCCCAGAGTGGCCGCGATCCAGGCCCGGAGTCACCCCGAAGAGAGTCCGAGTCGAGCTCGAAATCTCCTTCTCATCAGACAGAGAACTCCGAGTTAGCCAAGAGTAAGGCGAAGCCGGACCAGGGGTCCCCTCACCGTCAGCCAGAACCAAGTGAGGACCCAAAGTTAAGTAAAAATAAGGAGCCAGGCCCAGCCTCCCCCCGACGTCAGCCAGAGCGAAGTGAAGATCCAGAGTTAGCCAAGAGTAAGGAGGAGCCGGGCTGGGGGTCCCCTCCGCGTCAAACAGAGCCTTTCGGGAGCCAGGGTGGATCCAACTCGGAATCGGCTCCGGGGTCTCCTCGACAACACCCGCAGCCCGTCCCCGGATCCCCAGAGCCATCCCCTGGCCAGCAAGCGACCGGTCCAGAGCCCTCGAGGCCACTCCAGGAACTGACACCTCACTTACCCGGCTCCCCCCCGGGTCACCACGAGCCCAGCAAGCTGACCTCGGCAGGGGAGGCAGTGCCAAGCGGTGTCCGGGCAAAGAAGCGAAAGAGTTCTTCAGTCCAGGCGCCAGCGTCCAAAACGCCAAAGAAGGAGGTGGAAGAGATTCTGATAATCCCGAAGGGGAAGCCCAAGTCGGGGAGAGTGTGGAAAGATCGCTCCAAAAAAAGGTAAGTGGGCACTGGATGGGCGGGGCTGGAACCATCAGTGGTGTTGGGAGACCTCCTGGACCCAGCTGCAGCCCGAGTTTTAGGAGCGGAGACAGCCCAAAGTTGTAAAGAAAAACGCCTCCTTTAACAGGGATGTCCCAAGAATAGATCATTTTAATCAGAATAGATATACAGGATGAGGTTTTGCTATTTCTGACAGAGACTGAGAACACTACTGTAGTAGCTTAGCATGGGATTGCTTGGGCTTGGTGTCTCCTTAGTCCCCACTGAGTAGTTTCCCATGTTTTCACTACTGTAAGGTCGCTGAGGAAAGACATAACCCAATTCAGACCAAGAAAGACAGTTTATTGAGGAGAAACTGCCGGGCTGGCTCTCAAGCAGAAAACCCACCCCCACTAAGAATTAGAGAGGGGGTTTGTATTCCTTTAGGAGGAACTTGGGGAAGGGGCTGCTCACAGATGAAAGTGAAGTGGGCTGGGGTCTCAGGTAACTATTTCTGGGAAAGGGGGTGGGGTAGTTTCACATCCTTGGCAGAAAAAGCACAGATGCTGCTTGCTTCCTGTGATTGGATTCTTTCAGTAGCCATGCTGGGAGATAGGGCTCTGCAGTTCTAATAACTACAGCAGAGATTGTAGATTTGAGAAGAGGCTTTCACTGTGGAGTGGAGAAAAACAGCCATTTTTAGAAGCAGGATCTTTGAGGTGGTTGGGGAAAAAAATACATGAAATTGTTTTCTACAGATTAGAATGTAAACACAAGTCCCCCGTGCTTACCCTCCTGACCGGAAAATTTGACCTTGGCTGTGTTGTGAAGTGCTGGTGCCCTGGGATCCTGGGGAGGGTATCCTGATGCTGATTTCTTTGATGTCTTTCCTTCTGGGGCTTCTCTGACCTCTCCTGCAGCACCACATTTGTGTATTCATTCAGTAGAGAGCCTCTCTGGTTTTGAAGACAGCCAGCCATCACTTTATTACTTTTTTTCCCTACTAGTTTGCTTACAGATTTCAAATACAAATTTGAACAAATTCTTTCAATTTCCCTCACAGCCCCCATCAAATTGTACAACCCAATAATTAACCCCCCTCCCCCTGCAGATCCACATCCCTCTGCTTCCAGCCTCTCCCACCCCTCCTGGATCCTTATACTCATTGTACAATAATGGTCTTATACAGTATTTATCCTTATGGGACTGAGTTAGTTCACTTAGCATAATGCTCTCCAGTCCCTCCCAAGTTAGGTAATAATTTTCAAAGTTACTGAGCCTGCTGGGTTGGGTTTTGTCCCCTAGTCATTAGGCTTTGTGATAAAAATTACTGCAGATCATTGGTTAAGTACCACCCTGTTGTTGCTGCCATAGGACCAGCACCCCAATTTAATGAGAACCCCCATGCACAACGAGGCAGAAATGCTTCTGGCTCCTATACCATTCCCGTGATTGGTTGCTTATGGACCATTGTTATCCATAAGGTTTTCATGGACTGATTTTTTTTTTTTTTTAAGATTGCCAGGCCTTTCTTCCTAGACTTAGCATTCCACTGAAATCTGTCCAGCATCAAAGCAACAGATTAAAACTTCCACTAACCAGTGGATGGTGGCTGCCCTTGAAGTGCTTCTGAGTAGGATCCAAACCTGGATGTCCTGTATGAGAGCTGAGAATTCTCCTGCTGTGTTAGTGCTTTAGTAGAGATAGGCCAGAGTAAGGGCCTTGTGAACAGAGGGGACAGCTCACGTCCTCACGTTTAATCTGCACATCAGCCCTAACAGCCCTGTTTTTATAGGAGGAAACAAGGCTCAGGGAGGCTAAATGAGTGGTGGGTGCAAGACCTGAGCACACATCAGATTCAAGACTGCAGCTTTGTGCATTCCCTGGGGCCCACTCTGAATTTGCAGCCCTCTTATGGGCAGGCACAAGGTCTTCCTTCTGTCTAGGCCAAAGGCATAGTGCTGTGTATAGTCAAGTTGGAACCAACCCATAGCTGACCCTCCAGCAGGGTTTTAGAGGCAGTTAATAGCACAGAAGAAGATTGCCCATCTTTCTCCATGAAAGACATAGTAACTGTCAGTAAATACATGTTGAATGAAAGCACAAAGAGATTCATCTGAAGAAAGATTTGAGGCTTCCAGGAAGGAGCCCATTTTCCTTCTACCTAATGGGGAGTGTGGACAGTCCCCACAGGAATGTGGGGTCAGAGGTGATTTTTATCACTTTCCCTGGCTTCCAACTCTGCCAGGCTTTGTTCTGGGCCTTTTTTAGACATATGATGTTTGTTAACTACGCACAGATCCATTCTTAATGACTTCGTGTGGCAGAGTATTGCTGCCCCGTGGGGTAAAGAGTTCTTGGCTGTACTCTTTATGGAGGCAGAAAACGAGAGCGTTCTCTCAAGGATCTGGTAGGTGAGTTTGAACTGCTTTCCTTTCACTTAGCAGCCTAGTGTTTAGCTGTTGTGCCACCAGGACGTTTTGTGCTATTTAACACTATTTAACCCCAACTCTTTTACCCCAACTCTTTGTTGTCAAGTCAGTTCTAATTTATGGTGACTTTAAGATTATTCATTGGCTCCATAGAGTTTCCAAGGCTTTAGTTTTTACAGAAGCAGTTGACATTTTTTTCCCCTGGAGTAGCTGGTAGATTTGAACCACCAGCCTTAGATTTATGAGCTGAGTGGGGTTTTTTTTCTTGGGTTGTTTTTTTTTTTTTTTAAATTGAGATTTTAATGACAGTTTATAGAGAACTTGGATTTCCATTCATTCATTGTTGCACATTTTCCTCCCTGCATCCCCTCCCCTCCAGTTCACTTTTCTCTTTGGAAAAAAAAATTCTTTCATTCTTATATAGTGTGCCCCCACCCCCAAATCCACTTTACTATTCAGCTCTTATTCTGAACTCTTGTCATACCAATAATACCTAGTCATTTATTCTTTTTATACAGTTCTCTCCATGTTTCAATGCCGTATACATTATTTATCCCCTCTTTTCTTCGTTTCCCCCCAAGCCCCCTTGTCAGTTCTATTTTATAACAGTGGAATTATGCAGTATTTGTCCTTTTGTGACAGATATTTCACTCAGCATAATGTCCTGTGTTGTTGTTGATTGTCTTCAAGTCGAGCATGACTCATAGCCACCCTAAGAACAAAAGGCTGAAGCCCTTCTACAATTATCAACATTTATCAAAGTTCAGAGGGTTTCCGGAGGCATGTTATTTAGGAAGTGGATGCCACTCCTGCTTACAAACCTGTCATGGTATGTTATTGTTTTTATATACCATTGAGTTGCTTGTGACCCTATGTACATCAGCTCTGAATGCTTCCCTGTCCTGAGCCAGTCTTACTAACTCGGATCATCCCATCACCAACCCCATCGTCCCAATTGCTGTATCAATCCATCTCACCCTGGGTCTCCCTCTCCTGCGCTTTCTGTCCTCCCTTCTGAGCATGATGTCCTTTTCCAAGGACCGCTCTCTCCTGGCCACGTGCCCAAACTAAGTGAGGCAGAGCTTCAAAATCCTATCCTCCGAGGAAAGACTTGACTTCACCCTCTCCAAGACAGACCTATTTGTATTCTTGGCAGTCCATGGTATGTTCAAGACTTCTCCAGCAGCACAGTCCAAAGGCATCTGTTCTTCTCTGTCATCTTTAGTCGTTGTCCAGCTCTCTGAAGCATGTCCTCCATGGTCACCCATTTTGTATAATAGCCCATGAGTTCCTTGTTTTTCAGTGCTGCATAATATTCCATTGTGTGGCTATATCACAGCTTCTATCCATTCATTGATGGGCACTTGAGTTGTTTCCAGCTCTTTGCTATTGTGAACAAAGCAGCAATAAACATGGGTGTGCATATATCTGCTTGGGGGGCAGTTCTGGTTTTTTTAGGGTGTGTATTCCCAGTAGTGGAATTGCTGGGTCAAATGGTATTTCTGCTTCCAACTTCTTGAGAAAGTGCCATACTGCCTGCCTTAGTGGTTGCACCATTTTACACTCCCACCAACAGTGAATAAGGGTTCTAGTTTCTCCACAACCTTGCCAACCTTTATTGTGTGCTGCTCTGTTGTATTTTGCTATTCTTACTGGGGTGAGATGATATCCCATAGTTGTTTTGATTTGCATCTCTCTTAGAGCTACGGATTTTGAACATTTCTTCATGTGCTTGTTCAACATCTAATTGTCTTCTTTGGTGAAGTGTCTGTTCATATCTTGTGCCCATTTTGCAGTTGGGTTGTTTACCTTTTTCTTGTTATGGTGCTCGAGTATTCTATAAATTCTAGATGTAAGTCCCTTAACAGACATGTCATTACCAAATATTCTTTCCCAGTCTGTGGCTTCCTTTTTAACTCTTTTGGAGAAGTTTTTGGATATCCATAGGGATTTGATTCTTAGAAGATCCCATTCATCTATTTTATCCTCTCCTGGTTGTAGGTTTTTCAGGATGCTTGGAAGACTGTTCATGTTGTGGATTAGGGCTTCTAGGGTTTTTCCAAGCTTTTCTCTAATGAAGTTTATAGTCCTTGGTTTTAGTCCTAGGTCCTTGATCCACTTTGAGTTGGATTTTGTGTCTGGTGTGAGGTGTGAGTCTTGGCTTGAGTTTTCTGAAGATGGTTTTCCAATTTTTATCAGCTGAGTTTTTGTGGGTGTTTTTTTTGAGGGGGGGTGTTGTTTTGTCCACTGTGCAACTCACCAGGCCTCTTGTAATAATAATCACATCAGCTGTTACCACGTGCCTGTCACCCAGGCCCCAAGCTGAATGCCTTCCTCACTGTTGTTGTTACGTGCCATCAAGTTGCCTGCGACCCTCTGCACAGCAGCTCTGAAGCCTGCCCTGTCCTGAGCCAGTTTTCACTGATTGCAGTACATCAACCCCCATTGTCCCAGTTACTGTATCAGTTCATCTCATATGAGATCTTCCTCCCTTGCACTGTCCCTAATCCGCGGCAAAGAACTTAACTTCAGTTTTGTAAAGCACAGTGTCACTTTGAAAACTAATGTGTGCTTGACCCGATCCATGGAGTTCTCAGTCATCATATATGTCTGTGAAGTCTGGACAGTGAATAAGGAAGACTGAAAGACAGTTGATGCCTTTGAATCATTGTGTTGGCAGAGAATATTGACTACATTGTGGACTGCCAGAAGGGGCAAGTCTGTCTTGGAGGAAGGACAGCCAGAATGCTCCATATTAACTGGGATGGGGAGACTTCATCTCATAGACTGTGGACATGTTAACTGGGATTCCTGGGGAAAGTAGAGGGTCAGCAACAGTCAGGAAGACCCTCCAGGAGATAGATTGACACACAGTGGCTGCAACAAAAATAGCACTGATTCTTTCTTTTTTGTCTTGGTGTGTACCAAATTGGATCTGACTGTCACAGCAGATTTCCTCTCCTCCTCCAGCAGAGCATGATTCAAACTGCGTGCCTTCGGGATTGCAGCGCAGCTTCTTGCCACGAGGCCACCAGAGCTCCCAGTAGCAAGGATTTTAGATGGAGTAGGGCTGGCGGTGTTCGGTCTGCTGTCCATGGGGTCACTATGAGTTACGGCTGACTGGCCACAATAGTCTTTAGAAACCACTAAGTGTAAGATGCTGAGACTCAGAGTCATAAGTCACCAGTTAAAGATTTTGGATACGGGCACCGTACCCCCTTGCTCTTGTCCCAGGAAGAATGATGGGGCCACGTAGAACCAGACACAGAATTGGCACAGGCACCCAGGCAAGGAGAGGGTGATGAGCAGAGTGAGTGTGGAAGTTGGGGCCCCCGTGCTTAGGCCACACAGGGAAGGGAGCTGCTCCCTGAGCGAGAGGGAGCTGAGAAGGGGGCTCCGAGGGGGAAACGGAGGAGCAGTTGCTGGGACCAAAGAGGAAGATGTAGGTCAAGACCCAAAAGTGAGAGGAGGAAGGTATTCTGTCTCAGCTTCCCCATCCCAGGTGCCCTGACTTCCTGTTGCTCACACAGTCCATGCCCCAGACTCTGTAGGCAGAGACACCAGGCCCTGCAGGCCCACCCTCCTCTCCCCTCCTCTCCTGTCCCCTCCTGGTTCCCATGCTGACCTCTCTCTCCCCTCCAATACCTGGTGCTCCTGCCACCTCAGGGTCTCACACTTTCTGTCCCTTCCCAAACACCTGCCCTGGCCTGGCTCTGCTCATCTTTCTGGCCCAGTCTCAATGCCACCCTCAGAAAGCCCTCTCTCTCTGCTTCAACCAAGATTAAGTCCTGTGTGATACACACAACTAAGGCTCCGCTGCTGACTGAAAGGTCGGAAGTTCTCATCCACCTAGAGGCACTTGGGAAGAGAGTCCCCCAAAACCAGAGACCTGTGTGGAGCATGGTTCACGCTCACACACAGTTGCCGTGAATCAGAAGTCACTGGCCAGGGGCCGGGTTCATACGCTGTCACTGCCTGTGCTTCACTTTTTAGTCACCACCATTCACAAACAGAGTCGTTTATTTGTGTGATTCTTGCCGACTGCCTATCTTCCCCTGCGCCAGCGGCTTCCTGAGCGTGGGCACGTGGCTCGTGTGGTGAGACCCCCAAGCCCAGCACGTGGCAGCGGGCAGGCACTCGGCTGAACAAGGAGAGAAAGAATGAGGCCGGGAGTTGGCTGAGCTCTGTTGCACCTAGAGTCCATCTGAGTCTTAGGCACCTTGACAGCACCTAACAACCACAGTGAAGCCATGCGGGGACTGAGGCTCGGGGATTTGTCCGAGTCACACATGTGCTGAGCCTGTCCTCCTCCAAGTCTCTAAGGAAAACCAGTGCTGGGAACCACTCTGCCCCTTTCCTTAGCCACCAGCCACATATGGTTATTGAAATGTCAGTAGACTGACATTAACCATGCTGCAGACTCTCCTCTGTGATTCAGAGACTGAGTATTCGCTCATTATCAGGCCCTTGGGGATAACATGGTGCTAGGGTCAGAGCAGCAGGCAGAGTGGTGGGGAGGCCCTTTGCCAGGCTGAGGGCAGACAGGCCCGGCGTCGGGGTCAGGGCCCTCCCTGTGTCCCTTCACCCACACTTCCAGGCTGGCGTCGGGGTCAGGGCCCTCCCTGTGTCCCTTCACCCACACTTCCAGGCTGGCGTCGGGGTCAGGGCCCTCCCTGTGTCCCTTGACCCACACTTCCAGGCTGAGGGCAGGCAGGCCTGGCATCAGGGTCAGGGCCCTCTCCATGTCCATTCACCCACACTCCCAAGCCTCCAGCATGAGGAGAGAAGGCGCCAGAAGAGCAGTGGTGGGGGCCGGCTCTGCCCAGCCTGGACCAGGCTTCTGGAGGGCAGGCAGAACCAGCCGACTTGCCGGGCAGTTCGGGCACCGTGTGATGGATGGGATAAACAGGAGCTCTCTCAGGGGTCGCCACACTGTCCCGGAGAGTGTAAAGGACTCTAGAAGGCGATCTCTGAGGAGACTTGGGGTTTAACAGGAGAAAAGAAGGCCCTTTGGACACCCACACAGGCTCATCCAGGTGAAAGAAACGATGACCAGCACGTGAATGCCACCAGGAGATGGTGTTTGCATTTTGGTTTTGTTTGTTTTTGTGGGTGGGAATAATCCAAACTTCACAGAGAGAGAGAATCGTTCACTGGACCCCTATATTGCCATCACCGAGTCTGGATGGCACCTAGTTGGTTGGAGTTTAACCAGAAGGTTGGAATTTCAAACCCACCCAGAGGCATCGGCCCAGCTGTGGGGCAGACACGACCCTTGCAGAGTTGGTGCTAAGCCTCCCTGCAGTTCTCAGATGGAGTGGCCGCTCTGAGTGCAGGGAGGGGGTGCTCCATCCCCGGAGGTATCACGCATCAAGCAGGCGGGGGCACGTAAACAGCCGAGAAGCAGTAGGGTCAGTCTGCCCTGCCCGGGTCAGTCAGGGTAGGTCAGTTTCCGCAGCTCCCACAGACTGCCTGCCAGGAAGCTGGCAGAAGACTCGCTCAGGCGGGAGCTGAGAGGCCCGAGAGCCCCCAGCCCCCCATGAACAGCCAGCCCTGCCCTCCAGGTTCTCCCAGATGGTTCAGGACAAGCCCCTGCGCACATCCTGGCAGCGGAAGATGAAGGAGCGGCAGGAGAGGAAAGTGGCCAAGGACTTTGCCCGGCACCTGGAGGAGGAGAAGCAGAGGCGCCGCCAGGTGAGGGGAGATGTTTCAGGACGTGCCCGGGAGGAGGCTGCCATGGCCAGGGGATGTTCTTGAACATGAGAACCTGCAAGGTTGCTGGTGTGGTCTGAGCGCTAGGAGGAGGATCAGGGCTGTGATTGCCAGCCGCTGACATTGTCCAGTGCTGGCACCAGGGTGATAGTGCCCAGGAGAAGGCCTTGGTGGTTCTCGCTGGTGACAGGAACAGTCAGTGAAAAAGGCATCGAGGACCAGCTTAGGGTTCGGGGTACAGACCGGAAGGCCACATCCCCAGGATTCTCACTGTCATTCTCCAGGATGCTCAGGCATCATCGAAGTGATGGCCCCTCACCTTTCGTCACCTATTCCCCAACTCCTGCCCCAGGGCCAGAGGTGCCCCCAGAGGCCTACACCCCCTAGCCCCAACCCTGTGAAGGCCGCAGCTCTGTCCTCTTGCAGAGACCCTGGCAGGCAGCCCCCAAGAGTGAGGTGAGAGGGGTGGTCAGTGACTCCCCCTGCCCGGGGTCAGGGCCATCTGTGTGCTAGGATCTTGGGGCGAGGGGGGGCAGTGGACCAGTAGTGAGGCAGCTCTTCCTCGGCCTCCCCACTGCCACTCGGTCACCGCCCAGTGGACTGGGGTCACCTTGTTTGAGACCATATCTCTCTTCCTGTGTGGCCGCCCTCTTGGGCAAGGTAGAGCTGTCTTCTCACCAGGGCCTCCCAGGCCTCACTTCTCCTTTCTCCCCAGGGGCCTGGGACACCCTCTACTCTAATGTCCCCACCCTGCCCCTCCTATGGCCACTACCATCCAGCAGATGGTCCCCAGGTGGCCTGTCTCTAGACTCAGGCCTGAGCGTGCCTGCTGGGCCACGTGCACCGCAGAGCCCCCTACACAACGTACACACTCGGGTCACCCTCGGAGTAGGCACCATGACTGGTTCATTTTAAAGATGAGGATAGAGGATCAGAGAGGAAGAACCATTTTCCAAGGTCACCCATTTAGGAAGGAAGTAGCAGTGTCAGGATTTGAACGCATACTAGTTAGCCCAGACCCACACCCTCTTCTGCAGCCCAGCCCTCACCCTTGGCCTTGTGTGGATTCAAGGGGGGAGCAGGGGGCCCAGCGTGTCTTTCCTGATGATGACATGGGGAGGTGAGAAGGTCCAGATCTGGGTGCGCCCACTCCTGCCCTCAGCTGCCTGTTCTTGTCAGGAGCTTTCCAGCTGAGTGAACCCTGGTGCCATCCCTCCCCAGAGCTCGCATGGCCCTCAGACACCCCAGACCAGGAAGTGGGCCTTCCCCAGCCCTTCCTCAAGGCTCCTCTGTGCCTGAGAGACTAGGGCTTCCTGACTCAACACTCTTTCCCCATATGTCCTGCTCAGGAGAAGAAAGAGCGCCGGGCGGAGAACCTGAGGAGGCGGCTTGAGAACGAGCGAAAGGCAGAGGTGGTCCAAGTGGTAAGTGTCTCATCACATCTCGTGGGAGTTGGAACCCCACCAGGCCTCTTGTGTGGTCAGTGTGCTCACATCCCCAGACTAACGCACACCCTTCACTCCCACCAGATCCGGAACCCCGCCAAGATCAAGCGGGCAAAGAAGAAGCAGCTGCGGGCCATCGAGAAGCGAGACACCCTGGCCCTGCTGCAGAAGCAGCCGCCCCAGCGACCAGCGGCCAAGCTCTGACCTCACGATGGCCTGAGGCCTTCCATAACCAGTCCCCGTGTGAGACAGTGCCCCCTCAGGCCACTGCTCACGTGCCCTTCCTTGGTGCGCCTGCCAGCTCACAGCTCCAGAGCAGACACCTCAGCTCAGATGGGTGCCCAAGCCTTTTGGGGCCTTGTGGACAGGCTCACAGAGGGGCTGATGGAGGGAAAGGCTTCCGCTTCCCCCACCCCCAGCCCTTCTCCAAGTGCCTTCAAACCAGGAGCAGCACGTGCTTCTGGTTTCTCAAGCTGGTGACTGATTGTGACTCCTCAGCCTTGTGTGTCCAGTCTTGCGGTCACAGCCTCAACCAGCTCTCTCACAGCTCACTGCTCTGGGTACCTCTGCACCCCAGGGAGCGGAACTCGACCCCCACTTTCCCCCAGAGCATTTAAAATGGGGAGGCAGCAGGGAGTGGGCATCTCTCTGTGACATCCTCTCCCATGTCGGGAGTCCACAGCAGCCCCAGAGATATGACCAACTCATGACCATTGGACTACAGAAGTTAATTTATTGAATGCCAGTCGAGAGTAGGTGTGATTCTGGATCCCAGGAGACACAAATCCCTGCCCTCAGGGAGCATCGTTCCTACGGCAAACACAATAAACAAATGCTCTGTCCGGGGGTCTGATGAGAATGTGCTGGAGTCGGGGACAGCAGGCGGCTGGGGAAGGGGGCATGGTGTTCATCGGAGTCTGAGCAGGGGTAGTTTCCTGGCTCCTCAGTGGCCCTACGGCTCTGGGAGTGAGCCAGCCCAGCCTAGGGGGGAACGAAGAACCCAAACCCAGATCCCAAGAGAGACCAGTTTCTAATCCCAACTCATCCACTGAGGCACTCAGCAAACACTGGTCCCAGTCACCAGGTGGGCCAGGCTCTGGGTTGCAGTCTCTACCCCAAGTCTACGGTTTGGGGCAACCTGGAATAGATGGTGCAAAACAGGTTGGGGTGACCTACACTAGGAGATCTCAGGCACTCTCATCTACATCCTGGGGGGTTAAGAGTGCCCCACAGATTGAGGGATCTGAGCCCTGCCCAGAGGACTCTCCAGACCTGCACAGGCTAGAGGCCAGGTTGGCTGGGAAATGCCCTGTGCTGTGTCCTGCCAGTGCCCAGTCAGAACCTCCTCAGTAGCTGCCCATCAGATTTTGGTTAGCCTCTTGTCTCCCATACTATGGGGGCCCCTGTCATTTTCACTACATAAACACATTGGGCAATGCAGGATGAGAAAACAGGTGAGACCTTGGACAGCTACCAGGGTAAATGCTTTGGGCCGGCCAGCCAGTTCTTCCACCGCATCAGATGCACTTTGATAGAGTAACCTAACACTAGAGGTTAAGGTGCAGACTCCCAACACCAGCCACAAAAACTGGCAAGTCACTTAATCTCCCTTTGCCTCAGTTTATTCCTCTATAAAAATAGAAAACCAGAGGCAGCTACCTCTGAAATGAGCATAAAAGTACTCTGGTTGCACTGTGCTGAAGGTACCTGGCTGTGAACAGAAAGGTCTTCAGTTCAAACCCACTAACTGCTCAATTGGGAAGGTCTGGTTTAATGGTAATGCACTGGGCTGATAAGGCACATGGTTCAAGTCTACCAGCTGCTCAGTGGGACAAAGTCAACACTCACTCCATTTATTGCCTCTGAAAACCCACTATATGTGTCCCTGACTTGATGGTATGTAAATTGCTCCAGTCAACTTTCATCTAGATTTAAAGCCTGGGGGTTGGGTGGTCTCTCCATTCTAGGAATCCAGGATCCAATCCATGACGTTGGTTTAGGAGATTGGTGTCAGAAATGTTGGCTGGAGTTGAACTGGAGCGCTCTGACCTTTTTAATAGATTACTAGTTAAGTATAAAAATAAGCTCCGAGTCATCCGGGAGCACTGAGCCCTCGGGAAATGCATGGGGTCCTGGAAGGCCACCGTCTGAGAAGTAGGCATTTTTAACCCCACCATGCTCCCTGCGTGGACCCGGAACAGTGCTGGGGGGAGCTTGAAGGAAACCCAGTCTTCGTCTAGCCCTAGTCCTCAAAAGCTAATGTTCCCTTGAAGAGCTCTGGAGGGGATCCCTATATCACAGCGCTACTGTAACTCCACTTTTTTTTTTTTTTCCAAACTGCGTCAGTTCAGGCACGAAATGCAGGTTCCGGGGTCCTCGCTAGGACCTAATCCTGAGGCTGCAGTCCAGATCGCTGCTCCTGAATGGGGGGCGCACAGGGAAGCGTGGGGAGCCCTAGCTGGAAGCGACGCTGGGCGCGCGGTTCAGGGGGCCCCTCTCGTCCTGCGAGAGCGCCCGGTCCCGGGGCGGGGGGCGGTCACGCTCGGCCCGCAGGCAGCGCAGAAGGCGCAGGAGCCCGGGCGAAAGCGTGCGGACTCTGAGCGAGCCCGAGGTGGTGGAGGAGCCGCGGCGGCGCCGGCTGCCGCCCGCGCCCAGCTCGCTGTCGTCCACCAGCACGCTCTCCAGCACGCTCCGCAGCGAGCGGCGCAGCTTGCTCAGCACGTCGGGGCACGTGAGCACGTAGAGCAGCGGGTTGACCACGCTGTTGATGAAGGCCAGGCTGGTGACGAAGGGCAGCCCGCGCCACACGAGCGGCCGCAGCGCCACGTCGGCGTGCGCGCGCGCCTCCAGCAGGCTGAAGGCGTGGTAGGGGCCCCAGCAGAGCGCGAAGGCCGCCACCACCGCGGCCACCAGGCGCACGAAGCGGCTGGGCCGGCGGCGGCCGCGGTGGCGCAGCTGCAGGCTCACGGCCGCGTGGCTCGACGCGATGATGGCCAGCGGCAGGAGGAAGGCCAGCAGGAACTTGCTGATCGCCAGCGCCGCCTGGCGCGAGTTGCACGTGGCGTTCCGGTCGGGCCCCGGGCTCAGGAGCAGCACATTGTAGTAGCACATGATGCGCCCATCCCGCCGCGGGATCGTGTCCCGGAACACGAAGTAGGGCACCGTGTTGAGCACGGCCAGCGCCCAGAGCACCAGGCAGACCTTGTGGGCCGCGGGCACCGTGCGGTGGTTCTGCGCCCACACGGGCCTCACCACCTGCAGGCAGCGGTCCAGGCTGATGGCGCTGAGCAGGAAGCCGCTGGCGAACATGTTGAGGAAGAAGATGGAGGAGTGCAGCTTGCAGAAGGTGGTGCCCAGCTCCCACGAATGGCCCACGGCCAGGAAGTAGGTGAAGAAGGGCAGGGAGGCGGTGGCCAGCAGGTCGGAGAGCGCCAGGTGCAGCACCCACGTGGTGACCACTGTCTGGCGCATGCGGCAGCCCACCACGAAGAGGATGAGGCCGTTCTCCACCAGGCCCAGCAGGCTGGCCAGCGCGTGCAGCAGCACCGACGCGTGGTCGATGTAGCGGATACTGGAGTTGCTGTGACTTCGGAGCTGGCTCATCTGCTCCAGGAGAGGGCAGAGCTGCATGGTGGCGTTGGGCGCCATGGCGGGATTCTGCAGGGGCAGAAGGAGGGCTGGGGTTGGCGTGCAGACGAACCTGGGGAAGAGGGCTGGGCGGGCTGGGAGCCAGGAGGTGAGAATCTGACCTCAACACAGCACATGAGCTCAAAGGCAGAGAGGGACAGTAATGGCGTCCCAGCTCCAGCCCTGCACCCAGGGTAGACACTGTTGTGGTTGTTTGGTGCCATCTAGTCTAGATTCGCTCAGGCAAGGACAAGGTTCAGAGCTGTTATGCATAGGACCGCAGTGAGCCACACAACAACAGTCCAGTACAACTCACAGCCACCATTTGAACAACAGATCTGAATCCTGACCTCTCTTGGGTCATCCTTATCAAGCCCAACACACTTGAGGCCATTGCTGAAGTCTCTGTATCAACCTGCCTCATTCAGGGGCCACCTCTCCTTTTCCAACCCTCGGCCCTTCCAAGCATGGTGTGCCTCTCCAAGGAACAGCCTCTCTTAACATCATGCCTGAAGTACGTGATACGAAGCTTTGACAGCCTCTCCTCTAAGGAACATGGACAGGCATTTAACTCTCCTGATCGGGTCTCTTCCTCTGTACCAGGGGTTGAGCCACAGCTCCCCAGGGTTCTTGGGAGACTGGAATGAGTGAATATCAAAAAAGGCACTTAGAAACTTGTTTTTTTTTTAAATGCACTTATTTAGGCACTTATTTTTTAAAATGCATTGGCATGCAGTCCATCCTGCCTGTGGCGCCACCCTGTGGTACAGAGCAGAACTGCTCTGCAGGGCGTCTTCTTAGAAGTTGATGGTCAGGCCTTTCTTCCTTGGTACCACCAGGGGGGTTTGAACCACCAGCCTATAGCTTAGTTCTCCTTAAATTCTTTCTAGTCAGTTTCAACTCACTGCAACCCCAAGTGACGGAGTAGATCCTGCCCACAGGGCCTGCTCGCCTGTAATCTTTTCGGGGGCAGATTGCCAAGTCTTTCTCCCGTGTAGTCACTGGTTGAGTTCCAGCCACCAGGCTTTCAGGTAGCAGCCCAGCGCTTAACTGCTGCACCAACGGGGCTTGGTTATTGAGTATAAACCATCAGGACATGTCAGTGTGATTAGCATGGAGCAGGTAGCTCTAGCATCTATGTTGTTGTTACTGTTGTTGCCTGCAACTCATAATGACCCCTATGTACAATAGCCCTAAACCCTGCTCTGTCCTGTGCCAATCTCACCATCTCTGACACACCTACTCCCATTACCCCAGTTACTGAATCAGTCCACCTCATCGAAGGTCTTCCTCTCCTGCACTGGAAAACCATCAGCCACCAAGGGCTGCATGTCCCAAATCCCAGGATATGAGCAGGACTCATGACAAGGAGTGGGGGGTTCAGCCAGTCTAGTAGGGGGTTAGGGAGAATCCTGTGCTTTTAAGGGTGCCACCCTCCCCCCCACACCTCCAGACCTTGCCTCTCTGCAGCTCCTCTGTGCAGCCCGTCTCACACCTTGGTGGCTGTTGAGGTGTGTAGTCTTAAAAGTGAAGCCTGCTTCTTCTCTGAAGGTTGGAGAGGAAATAAGATAAGAACAGTGTGAGGGCTGGGCAGGAGGAACTGCCAGATTGGGGCTCTGGAGGCCCAATGGGGCCAAAAAACCTCTCCCATGCCCAGAGGCAGCCTGAGCTGCTCCACCCGCCCCAGCTGACAAGGGCCAGGAAATCAACATTTTTCTTCATTCATTGATTCACTCATTCAAAAACTATTGTAGGATGGTGCTGGAGAAAGCAGTTTCTGGCAGATGCGCAGACGCTCGAGACGCACATGCCCACTGCCTCACTAAGGAGCTAAGAGCCCACTGGACCTGAAGGAAATCGGGAAGAGGATTCTCCAAAGGAGATAGGGGACAGACAACAGAGTTGGGAACTCAAAGCGCCCTGGCGTCTCACAGTTCCCTGGGACAGTGCTAGGAAGAGCTTTTCTCTACACCCATTTTACAGATGAAGAAACTGAGACATTAACTTGCTTAAAGACACCTAAACAAAACAAGCGTGTAGAAGAGAAACAGTTTTGTACGCAGCCTATGCTCTTCCCTAAGACTCTGTGCAAAATGAGAGAATGGAGGAGGAGAAGGAAGAGAGGGGAAGGGAGGGTCCTCCGGACAGGTGTACCCAGACGTACCTCCTATTCTATTCCTGTCTACTGCAGTATTATGCTAATATCTCAGTAAAGCAAGTCACACACACGCTTTGGCTTCCCAGGGCTTTGAAAAGTTGGTGCAAGACTATAGTCTTTGAAGTGTGAAACTGCATTATTAAAAAGTGAAATATTGCAAGAATGACTGAAATGCGACCCTGAGACATGAAGTGAGCCCATGCCCATGCGTTCCCAGGCTTGCTTCACACGGAACTGCCATTAACCTTCAGTTTGTAGAAACACACAGTCGCCCCAAAGTGCCTGTCTTGGGCTTTCCGGTCCATGCGCTATTGGCCAGGATGAGAAAAATCTGCCCTCCAGGAACCCCAGTCCTTGCCACGGTGACCTCCTGAAATAGCAGATTATCCTTTTCCTAGCAGGTGGACCAATCAAAATTGGCAATCTGCAGGTTCATTGGAGGGGAGCGGTAGGCCTGTGCACCCCAAGAATGGCCACATTCCCTACACTTTACAGCTTATGGTGTGACTTCACACGCAATAACCTTATGAGAGCCTATTTTACAGATGGATAAGCCTGTTTGGAGAGACATAACCTCTCCCGTGGTGTCCTCTAGGAATGGACCAAGGACTGCACCCCCAGCAGACCTTCGAGGGTCAGCCTCTCTCAGCTGACATATTCCCGAGTTCCCTGGGGACATTTGGAGAGCATGGTCTTGCCCTGTCCTCTGAGAATTAACTCGGTCTCTCTGGTTGTGAGGAGATGGTCCCCAGGCCCAAGGAGTCCCCGGGAGCCAGCAGCTAGGGCGCTGCTTCAGCAAAGGGCTTAGGACCTGAGACCTGGGTTTGAGTATTAGCTTTTGTTCTCATTTGGCCCTTGAACTTGACTCCATTACCTTGGTGGCTGGCATCGAGCTAATGCCCAAGACAATGAATGCCACCTCTGTCCTCCAGGCAGCAAGACCACTCAGGTCTTTGGGAAACCACTCAACCCTCTGCAGTCCTGCTCTCCCGACAAAACTGTCTTCCCCTCCATAGGTTGTGAAAGGAACCAAGGACCCACCCCCAAACCAGCCCTTACCTGAGCACTGAGGGGGTGCGGCTTCCAGCCAGGCAGTGGCTAGAAGCCCCTGAAGAAGCTGGGCTGCAGGCAGAGGCCCGGTGTGGGACTGAGGAAGGAAATTGCTGTCAGCCAGAGAGTATTTGGAGGTGGAGGGAGGAGAGAGGCGGGGACAGCCAGAGAGTGAGTTGTACACAGGCTTTCAAATAAGGTTACACTCCAAGATGGGCAATGGGTCCCTGGGGAAGGGAGGTAGCCACAGACAGCCCTGACTACCGCATCCTTCCTGAAGAAGGGACTTTTCAGAAGCCCAGATGTGTGTGTGTGTGTGTGTGTGTGTGTGTGTGTGTGTATCTGTGTAAGAAAGTATGAGCATCTCACCACAACAAGATAAAGGTAAATAGTTCAATCAAAAAATGGGCACAGGATATGAACAGACACTTCACCAAAGAAGACATTCAGATGGCCAGTAAGCACATGAAGAAATGTTCAAAATCCCTAGCTCTAAAAGAGATGCAAATCAAGACAACTATGAGATATCATCTCACCCCAGCAAAACTAGCAAAATTTAACAGAACAGCAAGCAACAAATGCTGGTGAGGTTGTGGAAAACTGGAACTTATTCACTGTTGGTGGGAGTGTAAAACGGTGCAACCACTATGGCGGTGTGGTGCTTTCTCAAAAAGTTGCAAATAGAGATACCATTTGACCCAGCAATTCCACTACTGGGAATATACCCTAAAGAGACCATAACTGACATCCAAACAGATACATGCACACCCATGTTTATTGTGGCTTTGTTCACAATAGCAAGGAGTTGGAAACAACCTAACTGCCCATCAACAAATGGATAGAGAAGCTGTGGTATATTCACACAATGAAATACTATGCTGCATTGAAAAACAAGGAACTCATGCAATATTATTCAAAATGGGTGACCCTGGAGGACATTATGCTGGGTGAAATATCTCAGTCACAAAAGGACAAATAATGTATGGTGCCACTGTTGTAGAATGAGGCTGACATCAGGGAGGGGGTAAGACTGGAAAAAACTGGATAATTATGTATACTGCATTGAAGCTGATGAGGGAGAGAACAATTTAAAAGTAATATATTTTAGGGCATTATGATTATCATAAGAGTTCAGAATGAGGGTTGCAGAGTGGAGTATACTCAGGGTGGGGGTGGGGGGCACGGGGGGATTGTATACCAATGAAGGAGTCTTGCTTTTCAAGGAGAAGAGCGAACTGGGGGTGGGGGTGGGGTGTGTGGGGAGAAAAGTGAAACAGTGAATGAATGGAAATAAAAAATCTTTGTAAATGTTCATTGAAATTAATAAAAAAGTGGGGGCATCATGCTATGCACACGCTGGGGAATGGCTTGTGTCCACTCACCTACTGTCTGTCCCTAGGCTGCCCTCCCCAGATGCCATCATCCTCAGAAGAGAAATCCCCAAGCTCTCCGAGGCCCCCAGCAGTGTGGGCACCAGACTGTAAGGTCCCTCTATGGAGGGTGGGGTAGAGGGAAGGCTGCCAGTCTGCCCCTGCCCCCTTCAACCCACTTCATTGCTATTGAGTTAGGAACTGACTCATAGCTGCCCTCTAGCAGGTTCCCAAGGCTGTAAATCTTCAGACTGCCCTTATTTGTCCTGATAGGCAGCTAGTAGAGTCACACTGCCAACCTTTTCATTGTTGTTGTTGCTAGGCCCTGTGGAATTGAGTACAAATCCTAGCGACTCTCTGAACAACAGATCTGAACCCTGTCCTATACCATCCTGAGCCCATTGCTGCAGTCACTGGATCAACCTATCTGATTGAGGGTCTTCCTCTCTCTCACT